AAAGACTCTGGATCGATGTAAAGAATTAATTCATTATTCATTCCCCATGGCCTACATATGCTCTATCCATATGACATACTTGAATTGATACGATATTTTGGCACATATTTTGGACTTCATTTTGTCACTCACCAAATTCATTTGAGTTCACCTAAACACATTTGTATAGAATATATGTTTATATCTACTGCTTCTGACAAAACCAAAAGGATAACATACCTTTAACATTAGGGTTTGGCGATGCATTGTATTCCGACAGGATGCGATGTGCCTGTGTGAAGACGTCAGATGGAAGTATACACATGTCAATATGTACTGCACCTTTCCATTTAAATGTCATTAAAAACAATCGTTGACGTCATTAATTTTCTGACGAACTACATTTGGTTTTCGCAAAGTGAGAACTCTTATTGCAACCGAGATAAATTATCTTAGGATATATTAATTTTGTTTCCATGGCAATTAAATCTTTGAGAACCCCTTTGTTGGCTTCCACAGCATCTTTGCATCATATGTGAAGACTTTGGCTGGCGTAACATGCTGCTGTCTTTAATATGCTTAGGATAATTATTGCATTCTCATGGACATAATAAGAGATTAAAGCATTCAAAGACTACCAAATAGACCATCTATAGCCACATTGATAGTTACGTGCAGTGTATTGTACATACATGGGCTGACCGCCTCCGTGGTGTAGTGGTTAGAGCGTCCGCCCGGAGAGCGAAAGGTCGCGGGTTCGATCCCCGACCGTGTCATACCAAAAGACGTTAAAATATGGTACTTGTTGGTCCCAGCCTGGCGCTCGGCATTAATGGGTACTACAAGGACTGGTCGGCTCGGAGTATAATGTGTCTGAGTGGGATATTCATGCTTCACTGCGGCATGGTATCTCAGTGGGCTAGCACTATAAAACCAGCTTCAGCCTGGGCTAGTACAAGCAGCCGCACATACACACACACACGCATGTACGTCGTCATATGAGCGAAATATTCGCAAGCACGAAAGTAAAACCCAATTTCACCTCACCTCACCTCACCTTACCTCACCTCACATACATGGGCTAAACAGGTCGGTTGCTTTCATCAGTTGATTTGGTGGATTTTTCTATCACCTTCAGTTTTGAACTTTTCATAATTACTCTTCATTTTCCAGTTTACACAAACACATCCATTCAGTGTGGCAAAGGCACAAACAGCATGTTCTTCAAGACTCAATGAACTTTATCGACATGTTGACGGATCTTTACGACCCTCAAATAATGATACTGAGCATATTAACGTTTCAACAATCATCTGTGGTAACTTAGACATATAAAATACCTTATGTTTTCCAAACGGTGGTGAATGGAAATAACGAAAGAATTGTGCTTTTTCAGATGTATATATATTTCACAGTTAAATATTGTATAAGTTGTACCTGTTTGTTCTTCTCTTATCTCCAGTAGCCTATGATGATGCATTTACGATGATATGCTTGTCTCTCATTCAAGTTTCCCCAATTTTTTTGAAATACATGTTTTAACAATATCACATTGTGCACTATGTGTTCATCAAAAGGTTTCATTGCCAGTGTATGAAATAAGGCCCGTCCGACCACCCGAGACGGACTAGACTTCTGACGGACGGTCCTAATATTCACCCAGCCAGCCCGATAGCCCTAAAGTTTTTAGATATTCAATACATCTGAATAAATTCACCATATCTTGGTGTCTGGTCTGGTTAAATCCATTTTGGGCTGGTAACATTTTTAAGTTACCAGGCCTGATGTCTGGCTGGGTTTTGTTCTTATTTCATACACTGGTCATTACCACATGACTTTATGAGTGAGTGAGTGAGTTTAGTTTTACGCCGCACTCAGCAACGTTCCAGCTATATAGCGGCGGTCTGTAAATAATCGAGTCTCGGCCAGACAATCCAGTGATCAAAAGCATGAGCATCAATCTGCGCAATTGACATGAACTTATGTCTACATACTCACCAGTAAAGATCTTAATGATGGTCTGAAGAAAGTTTGTTTGTTGTCAAACCCATCGAATTTGTCTCCCTTGCGTTGTACGAATGGTGCGCTGATGAGGTCGACTGCAACACAGTGGAGAAGGTGTATAGGAGGTTGCCACAACGATGACGTTGATGATGATGCAACGGTTGGTGTACACGACGTAGCTCCATTAATCGTGGATCCGAGATCCGAGATCCGAGAAACATAATTTAGGCGAACCGAGATTCGAACTCACTCATAGGTTCCTGATGAGCCCAAGGGAGGCAACTCAGCTATTTGCAACGTCCAGATAATGGAGGAACGTAGTGCATACAAAACCCGTAGAATTATGGATGATGCGAGGATGAATACGGTGAAATCTTTGAAGGGCATTTAGAAGTGGAATACATAAGGAAAGCAAAATTTATGGATGTGAACACTTCTTTATTGTGAATAACACGACGTTTCTGAGTGTATGATTGCTCCTTCATTAGGTGATCATCAGTACTTGTGTGAACATGAATTGTATATATACAAATGCTTTTAAATATATGGTTTTTTGCATTCATCAGGTGATCACGTTTCGGAGTGTATGCTTGCTCCTTCATCAGGTGATCACCTGATGAAGGAGAAAGCATACACTCAGAAACGTCGTGTTATTCACAATAAAGAAGTGTTGACATCCATAAATCTTGCTTTCCTTATGAAAAAGGTGATCAATGAAAAATCAATTATTTAAAAAGTATTTGTATAGATAAAATTCATGTCCACACAAGTAACAGGTTCATGGTCATATGCATCATGCTGTAAATATATTTTATTATATCAAACCTCCACCCCTTTGTGCATGATAACTATATGTTTTGTAGAACGTCCAATACTATTTCCATGGGATCGAATTCAAATTCTGCATAGCAAATGTTTGCTCATTGCATGCAAACAAAAGCGACAAAACCTTTTCCACACACAGAAGAAATCTCTGCCAAATGCAACGTCGATTGTTCAGTTGTGACTATATCATGAGTATATATTTGCTTCAGGATTATTACAGCTGTACGATGTTGTTTGTAAACACATCGAGTCTGGACCAGACAATCCAGTGATTGTCACCATACGATGACAGAGCATGTGTTTATGAATCACTATGAAATAGTGAGGATACCAGGTGTTCGCGAACAGGTGAGCGTATCCCGCCCCACCGGCGGCACCCGTCATAAACAGATGCTAAGTCTAGTCATTTGTTCAACAAACTTCGGGAACGTATGGTATAAGTTAAAATTGGGAATTGCATGGACATCATTTTTGTCCATGATGCATCAAATTTGGAAACTTCCTCCACATGTCAACCATAAAACATCTTGAAAGCTTTACTGAGGCCTTGAATGTTGTAACTTTGATCAGACAACTTCTGAGCAAGAGTGGTAGGAAAGCAGTTCAAATGTTCGTTTACCAGTTGGTTTATACAGACCTTCATTGTCTGTTGCAAGGTGATCTTCAAAGAATTTCGGTATAGACAGGCAGGTTGACTTCAACGTCGCCGCCTTCTCCTGAAAAAAATTCATAAACATTTGGAATGACACATGTACATTTTGATGTCTTTATATCCAGTTTTAGGTGTGAGTCAAACCTATAAAACAACCTTTATATTTAGCAGTACATTTTAATTAATGCAAGTCAACAAGTTAATTAGAAGGTTGTTCTATTGAACTTGATAAAGATGAAGTTTATTCCCCTAACTCCATAACTTCGTGCCGACAAAAGGTATATTTCTCATTATGTAGTGCGTAGTCCATGCATGCAGGTACATTGCTTTCCATGACATATTACCCATACATACAAGGGGCATATTCTCCATTACATAGTAGTCCATGCATGCAGATGTATTACTTCCCACGACATATTACCCATACATACATGGGGCATATTCTCCATTACATAGTAGTCCATGCATGCAGATATATTACTTCCCACGACATATTACCCATACATACAGGGGCATATTCTCCATTACATAGTAGTCCATGCATGCAGATATATTACTTCCAACGACATATTACCCATACATACAAGGGGCATATTCTCCATTACATAGTAGTCCATGCATGCAGATATATTACTTCCAACGACATTACATATTACCCATACATACAGGGGACATATTCTCCATTACATAGTAGTCCATGCATGCAGATATATTACTTCCCACGACATATTACCCATACATACAAGGGGCATATTCTCATGACATAGTAGTCCATGCATGCAGATATATTACTTCCCACGACATATTACCCATCCATACAGGGGGCATATTCTCCATTACATAGTAGTCCATGTATGCAGATATATTACTTCCCACGACATATTACCCATACATACATGGGGCATATTCTCCATTACATAGTAGTCCATGCATGCAGGTATATTACTTCCGGCGACATATTACCCATACATACAAGAGGCATATTCTCCATTACATAGTAGTCCATGCATGCAGATATATTACTTCCCATGATATATTACCCATACATACAGGGGGCATATTCTCCATTACCGGGGTATATGATATAACATGCATAGAAGAGGTACATTTTCCATTACAGAGTGAATATAGTTTTACGCCAATTTTAGCAATATTCCAGTAATATCACGGCGGAAGACACCAGAAATGGGCTACCTTACCGTCCCCATTACAGTGTAGTCCATGATACAAGTAGTCGTCATCATAAGTAATGTACTTGATGATGTATTCGGGAATGGATTTACAATGATGAAAGTAAAATCAACTTACACCCTTGAGAGGCATCTGAAGCTTCATTTTCTCAGCTTCCCTGCAGAGTTCCACGAAGCTACATCTGAGCAGGACGTATTGGGTCTTGGTGGCTACATCCGTGACAAAGTCTACACTGAACCCTTGGGATCTTAAGCACTCCACGTGGGATTTTTGCTTTTCAGAATTAGAAATACGAAGCACCAAGTCTGCCTTTATTAGCTTTTGCATTTCTGCCATTTTGGCTTAGAACGGTTACCTGGAAATGAAAAGCAGACCTTTAGGCCATAGGATATTAACTTTATGTTCATCAGCATCAACTCATCCCTATTGCTCTTCATTGTAGGATGTGAGTACAAACCTCTTTTGTAATAGTGAGTGAAAGAGTATGGTTTTACGCCGCGTTTAGCAACATTCCAGCTATATCACCGCGGGGACGCCAGGAATGGGTTTCACACATTGTACCCATGTGGGGAATCGAACCCGGGTCTTCGGCGTGAGGAACGAACTCTTTAAGTACCCCACCTCTCCCCTTTGTGTAATAACAGTGCAATATCACGGCGGGAGACACCAAGAGTGAGAGAATGAGTATGGTTTTACGCCGCTTTTCGCTATATTCCAGCAGCATTACGACGGTGGACACCAGAAATGGGCTTCACATATTGTACCCATGTGGGGAATCGAACCTTGGGCCGTCGGCGTGACGAGCGAACACCTTAACTGCTAGACTACCCCGCCGTCCCGGGGACACCAAGAATTACTCCATCTATTGTACTCATTCCTGGATTCGAACCCGGACCTTAGACGAGACACAACAGTTTAACCAGTAGTATTTTGAGGCAAAGTTTTATTTTAAGTAACATGTTAAAAGTTATAACAATTGTGCAAAGTCGTATGAATGACGTATAAATAATGTTTAGCCTCTACAATATGGACATGGACAATTTAAGAGATACAGAAAGGTAAAATACACATGCATACGACATGCTACCCTTGTAAACGTTATACAAGAAAGAACACAACAGCTCACCTGATTGAGAGGGTGGCGGGGTAGCCTAGAGGTTAAAGCTTTCGCTTGTCACGCCGAAGACACGGACCCGAATGGGAACAATGTGTGAAGCCCATTTCTGGTGTCCCCCGTCGTGATATTGCTGGAATATTGCTAAAAGCGGCGTAAAACTCAACTCTCTCACATGACTGAGGGACGTTGTTATTTGCAGGGAAATCAGAACGTTGACAACAGGAATTCCCTTATCGATTCGTTAAATATTGCTATCTAGCTATACCAAATCTCCCATACTTACGTCGTGCGGTAAGAGACGTCTGAAAGCACATTTGAAGTTTTGCCAATTCAATTTCAAGCCACCGTTTGACCGTATTAGTTCAACAGGTTTGTCATTCACAAAGAAGACTGTAACCATAAACCGATATAGAAATAGAACTCTTTGTGGACAAAGGACTGAATAAACCTGTTTATCAACTTATTCATTTTACTTTTAGGCAATACAGCACAGAGTCTGAAAAAAGTCAAGAACAGTCTTCGATATCAATAAGAGCACATATAGACTGTTTATACCGTTACTAACTCAGGTTAGGTTTCTGAATACAGTGTTTTGTAATACCATTTATATGGTTACTTGTGACGTTGTGGTTTACTTGCTACCGTGATCAGAACATTAAAACACAATGTAGTCTAGGAGTTCGTTCCTGGTTACATGAGATCCCCAGTGTATAAACTCTGTAAGGGTTGTCTAACTAGGAGATTAGACTAACATGTTTTGAATTCAGAGGTTTCAAATGAAACTGACATATGAGCAACACCTAGTTTGTTTTAAATTTATAGGTTTCAAAATAAGATGACAGGTATACATTGTACACTGTTATGCTAACTCAAATTAAACATATGATATAGGCGCTAAATCAAGTATATTTTGAAATCAGAGGTTTCAAATTAAACTGGAAGGTATATAATCTGCAGTACAACCCTAAAATTATAGAAAATAAGATATGAGCTATACCTAATTTGTTTTGAAATTTTGAGTTTCAAATTAACATAAGAGACCTGTAATTAATCTACAGTTAGGCTGCCTCAAGCCTGACAAATGCGACCCGATAGTGTGTCATTGTACAGTTACGGCGTGAGACGATATTCAGAGAACAGATGGATGGGTGACTAGAAGTTCGGCCATGCTGAAACTGAGTGAGTGAGTGTGTGAGTGAGGGACGTTTTACGCTACCTGATGTATAAAGCGCCCGCTCATCACGCCGAAGATGACGTTCATGGGTACAGTGTGTGAAGCCCATTTCTGTGTCCCCTGCCGTGATATTGCTGGAAGATTACCGAAAGCGGAGGAGTAAAACTAAACTCACTCACTTTCAAATCGTATGCTCATAGACGCTGGTACTGAGGACATGCTCCATTCGTCTAACGCGCCAGAATTCTGTCAGCAGAGTTGCGGCCCTTGGGCGTACCAGGAACCGATACACGGGAAATCGCTGAATTTTTGTTCAAAGCGGCGTCAAACCACAATCAGCCACTCAGTTATAGGCGTGAAACTAAATGTTATGCATGTAGCTGCTAGTACGACTTAAAGGTGAGAGTTATACTTACCTGAAAAGCCCTTGAGTATTGAGTATTACTTAGCTATGCGTGTTGTGGGCCAGTATACACAGAATTCCAACTGTGCCTCACATGCTCCCAGTCAGACATTAGACGTTAACCGTCAGGTGTTAATGTTGACGTGTCTCGGTTGTTAAGATGTGGTTATTAATCGTGAAGTATTTGTGAAGGATATCTCATGTCATTGGTCGCAATAATAACGATAAACGTCTTATCGGTACTGTGTAAACTAGGGCGGTGGGGTTAAACGTTAGCTCGTCACGTGGAAAACCCCAGGTTTGATTCCCAACATGGGGACAATTTGTGAAGTCCATTTCTGGTGTCCCCCTGCCTTGATGTTGCTGGAATATTGCTAAAAGCGGAGTAAAGCTAAACTCTCAACTCTCTCTCTCTCTCTCTGTATCTCTCATCTCTCTCTCCTCTCTCTCCTGCCTCTCTCTCTCTCCCTCTCTCTTTCCTCTCTCTCTCTCTCTCTCTCTCTCTCTCTCTCTCTCTCTCTCCCCTCTCTCTCTCCCCCTCTCTCTCCATCTCTCTCTCTCTCTCTCTCCCATCTCTCTCTCCATCTCTCTCTCTCTCTCTCTCTCTCTCTCTCTCTCTCCTCTCTCCATCTCTCTCTCTCTCTCTCTCCTCTCTCTCTCTCCATCTCTCCCTCTCTCTCTCCTCTCTCTCTCTCTCTCCCATCTCTCTCTCTCTCTCTCTCTCCGATCTCTCTCTCCCATCTCTCTCTCTCTCTCTCTCTCTCTCTCTCTCTCTCTCTCTCTCCCTATTACAGCATTAGTCGTTACTACAAAATCGCATGCTCCAGGTCGTTATTACAAATCACACCAAAGTCGTTACAGAAATCACGTGACATAAGCCGTTCCTACAAATCGCATGTTATAAGTAGTCACAAGAAAACTGCTCACCAAAAGTCGTTAGTACAGACATCGCATGCTTCAAGTCGTTACTACAAATCGTAACCCGTTACCCACGAGAACAAACGCCTACATGTATGTGTAGCCATTCCCTTTGGATATGGCCGTGAACCTCCTGCCAACTCCTACAACAGTCCGCCAGCGCAATAAAGCGAAGTCCAGAAGCTTTAAGTGAAATAATCCCAATGATGATAAAGAATAAAACATCACTGTTCCTCCATCCAAGCAGACCTTTAGGTAAAGCTTAATCTTCACCGCCTTCCGAAGTATTTGGTGAGCCTGAGTTTCAATGATAGGTCGCACCATTTTGGTTTGTCCAAAATTTGTTATTTCATCTGTGGATTTTAACCCATTGTTAGTCACATTTTTATCTCTGCATCTTCCATAATGAAACTAAAACGGACATGTCCAAGATATTTTTATGGATTAAACTTCTTTTTTTAAAAAAAGAATTAAAAAATTAATTAAAAAAGAAGTTTAATCCATAAAAATATCTTGGACATCAATGTACAACTTCTAAATGCCACTGAAAGACATTAAAACGGACATGTTTCGCAATCAGATTTTACTGCATGAAATTCAAATGTTTAGGGAAAATATACTTACCTTTATAGGCTTACCTGAATTTACCGTAATGTGTACTAATGAAGTATTTGGCATTGACTGAGTATCGCCGTTAGCTATCCTATAGTGCCATACCGTTATACATACATACTAACATTTGTATAGCGCCGATATCCAGCTCAGCTCAGCTGCTCAAAGGAGCTATGTTTTTCCCTCGTTCACTGGATGTCAATCTCAGCGGCACATCGTATTGTCAATCTCAACTCCCTGGGGATCATACAACTCTTGCAGCCACTAGGCACACCGAGTTATTGCGGCTTTCCCATCCGTACAAGGTACCCATTCACAGTTGGGTGGACTGGGACACATGGTCAAAGTACTTTGTCCAAGTTTACTCTACGTTGCTGTACCCACAACTAGGTGTTTGCACGTATTCATGTGGCCACCATCTGGTCATATACCAACGGATTCGTGTTTTTTAAGTGCACAGGGTTGTGTACTGTACACTAGGGGTTGTAACAACACTGAAAGAGTCTGCACACAAAGTTGACTCCAAGGTTTTCACACCCGGTCACCCCTGGGCTCGATCCCGCTCGATCACCTTAAGCTCGCTGGATCACTAGCCTGGCGTTTAGGGATTTCGCCCACCAAGCCCCCTTATCAAGTATTGCCTGGCAATGCGGTACGACGTATATTATTTAAGGCCTAAGGACACCTGTATAGGAGTCCGTGATTATCTCCCTTACCCCAACAGCTCTGTTGCGAAATACTCTGAATAATATTTAGGCTGCCAAAGAGGAAGTTAAGCCTTCAAGTCGCACCGTCTACATTCAGATTCCAGCAGTTGAATAGTAAAACCTCGGCGGGGGATCAGGTTAGGGTAGGGAAAGTTGGAATGGAAACGAAACGAAAATTATGATTAACTACGTTCTGATAACTTGCATTTCAATTCTTGTATTTTTGAGATGATCTGTGATGCAGACTCATGTCACGTATGTTAAATGAAAACAACTGACAAAAGTATTAACATAATCGGTGTGAACCTGAATTCGATCACAGAGTCATAGGTTTCTGACGTGTGGGTAGTCTACAAGGGAGAGAACTCGACACTTCAAATTTAGGCACATTATTCCCCCTTCAAACTTCAGACTACTC